TCACAATGCGTGAGAGGTGGCAGCCCAATCTATTTTAAGGTTTATAAATATCTTAATATATTATTATATCCTATAATAACCATTTACACGCACGAGCATTATTATCACACGAGCTTCGCTCCTCCCGACCGCAGACACAAGTTTACAAGCCACTTTTTCCTGCGTTTTTCAATCAATTTCTTGACTTTTCCCCACTTATGAACAACACATTTTTGAACACAATAAAAGCTCCTTGTGGTTTCTCGGTTTGGCCAATTTAAGCATCCATAAACAACGCAAAACACTGGCATTTGGAATTTCTCCTACTGATTTCTATGGAGAGAAAAATCACTTCCTGCCCTCCAGCTGCATTTCGCTGCATCAGTGACGTCATGTGCAAACAACCTATAGGAAAAAAAACGCTCAGAAAGCGTGTCTCTTTGCTTTTCTTGCTGAATACCGTAATTATCGTAATAAGCATGCACCACTATTTTTGTCACGTTTAGCTTGACCTTGCGTAGTTTTGCTTTCTGATGAATTGGTCCAAAAGGTACCGCTGGAAATTATATATCACACTAAATTACAAATAACACTTCTACTTGATGTTTTGAATTCCGTATAGGCCCAAGTCATTTCAAGCATTTCATCATCAATCATTGCTGTTAATTCTAAATACTTCAGTACTCGTGCCCAACCTTAGTTTGCCCATCCTAAACTATCAGTCTTAAATCTGTCTTAATTTTATTTATTTATTTTTGCACCGAACCAGTTGGACTAGTATTTGATTCATATATTTTCAAAGCTTTAAATCTGAACACCCAACACTTTTGCTTGAGCATCGAAATTATTTATACATTTCAGTCACAAGTCACAGTGAAAGTCAGTTGCCTCAGTTCCCTCTAGTGTTTATTTATAATCAGCAACAGTTTCATCTGCCAGCACTGTACATTTATCAGGTTATACTTAAGTTTACTCATCTTACAGTAGGGTCTGTGGTTCTTACACAGGTGTCATGAACTAAAAAAATAAATAGTTTTTGTGCATCATGTATTTATCTGTTAATGTTCATTTATAAATACTATTATTCATTAGTTTTTTCATATTGTAATACATACAAATTAACATTAATGTTAATTAATAGAACTTTAAATGTTAAAGGGGTCATATGATGTTGCTAAAAAGAACACTATTTTGTGTATTTGGTGTAATTAAATGTTTATGCGGTTTAAGGTTCAAAAAACCTTAAAATTATTTTCCACATACTGTACATTATTGTTTCTCCTCTACGCCTTGCCTTTCTGAAACGCGTCGATTTTTACAAAGCTCATCGGTGTGAAAAGCGAGGTGTGCTCTGATTGGCCAGCTATCCAGTGCGTTGTGATTGGCCGAATACCTCAAGCGTGTGACGGAAATGTTACGCCCCTTGCCATATTGTGATGCCTTGTCCCGGCCGGAGCAACGAGACAAAAACATTAAACCCCATTATAAACGAGGCATTTGTTGCATCCAGTGGGGACATAATTACGGATTATAATGACTTATACTGTCTTTTTACGCGTTGCATTGCATCGTGCCACGTAAACATAAAACCATGTCTGCATTTGTGATCGGAGAAATGACAAACTACAAACGCTACTCTACACTGCTCAAAACTCGCGTTTGAATTGTCAGTGGCAAATTCTTTAAATATAAAAAACGTACTTACAGTCTGTTAGTCAGAACAGCCAGCATTGTAGTCTACTCTACCAGGACCAGGAGACAGTCCTCCATAAAATGCGCTGGACACATCGGAATATTTGGGTTGAACTGTTCTGGAACAGTGTTGTAAATACAATTTAACCACTGATTTCTAGTCGTGTCCTCTTTTGGAAGGCCAAACAAAGTAGTTTCGTTTTCACAACGAAACACACGGCGGGCTAGAGTGAGCCGAGGCCAGAGGCCTAGAGTGAGCAGAGGCCGGCTTGAGTGAGCGGCGGCGGGCGGGCTTGCCGCAACTACATGTGATGACCCCGGGCTGGACTCCGCTTCGTCCACAGTGAAAGCCGATCCGACGATCCACAGCGCGAAGTTGATGTATTTCATGTCTTTGCAACTTCAGGGATCTTATCTATGCACAATCAGCTTGTAACACTCCAAAGAGAAAGGAAAAATTGAAATCGCATCATATGACCCCTTTAAAAGTAATCAGTAGAAATTAACATGTATCTAGCTTAATACTAAAGGCAGTAAAAGTAATGTTCATTTGGTTTATAATACCTAATACACAAGAACAAAAATGCTAGGAAATCTGCAATACATTGAAAACTAGTCTAAAATGTATCATATCGTTTGTCAGCGATTAAAGGGATAGTTCATGGCAGAAGATGTAACTCGGGGGAGAAGAACTGTGAAATAAATTGTTATTTGTGTTTTCTTTGCCCTCAAAAAGTATTCCCGTAGCTTCGCAAAACTTAAGTTGAGCCACTGATGTCACATGGACTGTTTTACCGATGTCCTTACTACGTTTCTGGACCTGGGAATATTACAGTTGCGTTGCTGTCTATGCAGGGTCTGAGAGCTTTCACATTTCATCAAAAATATCTTAATTTGTGTTCCGAAGATGAACAAAGGTCTTACGGGTTTGGAACGACATGAGGGTGAGTAATTAATGACAGAATTTTCATTTTGGGGTGAGCTAACCCTTTAAGATCTTTAAGATCAACAACTGCATGTTCAATATGTAAACGACGCAGGAAATGGTATTTTCCAGACAAATATGACAAAGAGGAAATTATTTGAGAAAATATGAATCCGTTAGATTGGGTGAGAATATTTAGAAGACTTGATTCCTGATGGGACAATTGGCACCATCTTCTAGAAAGTTGACGTAAGAAAATGACAAAACCAGAGGTTTCCAATATTTGCCTACAGCCAAAGGCAAACTTCAAAAGGGGGTTTCCTGTAGGCTACTACCACCACAAGAGTAATAATTCATACTATTTTATAAATTTAAATAAATGTACCTCAAGTTTAAAATTCATTTACGAGCGTATGTTAAGTTAATGTTCCCTATCGCTTTAAATCATACAATATTTTACAGTCCACATTAAATATGACTGCAGGCGATTGAGAGATACACAAGAATGTAGATTTGACCAATCACAGCGCAGAATATGATTACTGACAAGCTGTTCATCCAATAAAATTCAACCGTGGGCGGGGTTTGCGTGAAGTTCGGGATAGTGAACTACACTCAGTTTGCCTTACTCGACTTCACGACAGGATAATGATAGGCAACGAAACCTTTGATTAATTCACTCGCGTGAATGCAAATAAAGCAGCGGATAAAGTGTCACGTTTTTTTAAAAAACATAAAAAACGTTACTTCAGCGTCCGACGAAGGAATATACGGTTATATTGACATCCATTCGACAAGTCAAACTGTTAAAATTGGGGAGTTTTCCACTCAAAATGTTTATTACCCGACGACGTTTCCTTTGCGCGTGTACGGGAATTGCGATAGTTTCATCTGGACAAATCGGTCTAATGGATACTAGAAGATCTGAAAGAAATTTACTTTTTTTATAATGTGTCCTGGGGTCTACTGAATAACTGGCTGACGTGGGGATCACGCAGGGGGGCTGGCCGAAAAAGGAGAGACACAGGCGGGCGCAGAGGGGCTGCGCCGCCGCGCGTCTGGGATTACAGTAAACACAATTTGTTTCTTCAATATCCTAATAGGCTTTGACGAGATAATGCAATCGCAGGCATATAAAACGCGAAGGAAACTATGTAGTATGTCTTCTTTTAGGGGTTCTGAGACGCTCAGACTGACCACTGCCTATAAGTTCATGGATGTTTACGTCAGTTATTGATTTGGAAGTTTTTAAAGTTTATAAAGGCCATTAATCACTGCTGTATGAACTTTGTTTTTAATATCTGATGCATGTTATGAGTGCTATCTAAGATGGTTGAGAACAGATGCTTTGTTCAGAGAGAGGAGGTTTACCGCTGGTTCTCCGCGTTGAGTTCGGCGCAGAGGGCTGAGTTTCTCTGCGGCATTTTGGACCTCTGCGTTCCCATTGAGCTGCGCTTCCTCGGCTCATGTTTGGAAGACCTTGCGCGAAAAGACTACCACTCTCTGAGGGATGCAGAAATCAAAGCCAACAATCCAGCTGACCTCGCCAACCTGACCAACATCACAGATGAGGTCGTGAGGAGCAAGCTGCTCGTCTCTCTCGCGCTCCTCAGCTCGGACAACCGCGTAGCGGCGGGAGTTTTGTTTCGGACCCTCACTCACATAGACACCATCATTAATAACTACGGACTTCAGCTTAACGATGGCCAGACGGGAGAGCAGTTTTTGCTCCTCTTCACCATGGCTTCGAACCATCCCGCCTTTAGTTTTCATCAAAAGCAGGTGCTGAGGCAAGAGTTGACACAGATCCAGGAGATCCTTCAGGTGACAGTTGGTGAGGCGCCGTCGACGTCACACGGGGGCGGGGCCAGCGCTGCTGCGCTCCCAAACGTGAGCGCGACCCCGACCTTCTCTTCCTACATCACAACATCCACCTTCAACTCCTGCCAGGTCGGATGTCCATGCTGCAAGGTGAGAAGCATTTAAAATCGGAATGAAATTCACTATTTTCTAAATGCAGTTTTATGTTTCATCCATGTTCTTTTTTTAATTCTGATCTCGTTATGTTGAATCAAAATAATGATAACTGCATCTTCTGGTGAAAATATCAGACCTCTCTCTGATGACATATGTAGGTCTTTGTCTTCTCCAATCATTTATTCCACTTAAACCCTCCCCCTAATGTTAATCTGTCTTCTCTTTTGTGTGCAACGCCCACATCGGATCCAATCCAATCAACAATGGAAGTGTAGAACCAATTTCCTGTGCTGCATTGTTTCTTTTTCAGTATCTGTTACATTTGGATATACTTTATAATACGGAAAAAAGATCTGCCACTACTTCTGTTTTATCACAACTTCAAAGTGGTTGGTTCTCAGTTATCACTGGGATTGTTCTCAGAACTTTGGCTAATGTTCTTGAAGGTTCTCATTCTAGAGTTATCTGGTGTTTAGGAATGTTCTCGAATGTTCTTTTAAAAACATATTGTTCATGGAATTTTTTTTCCTGATTTAGGTTAGTTGGATGTTTATCTAACATTTTTTAAATGTTACTACTTCTTTCAGAATCTTCAGAGAACATTCAAAAGTAACGTTCCCATAATGTTTGCAAAATTATAAAAAGCAATGTTCACATAGCCAAGAAAAAAAACGTTAGAAAACATCTAAAAAAACAGAGAACGTTCAGAATGGGAATGTTAGCAAAACATTTTTTTTAACATACCTGTGTTTTTGTTTGCTTTGTTTTCAGTTAGTTAAAGCAAGTCAAAGACTTGAAACAAGATGAATGTTACTAAATAATTACTAATAGTGAGGAAAAAAACCATCCCTTTAAGGTTGTAAACAAAGTTTGTGAATGTATGCTGAATAATGTTAGTGTGGTTAATTTTGTAAAATGTAGTCTAAAACTAATTTCTTACAGGACAGACACTTATATTTTTATGCCTTTATTCGGACAGGACAGTATAGAGCAGACAGGAAAGCATTGGGTGGAGAGAGAGAGGGGAGTGGGATCGGCAAAGGACGGGATTCGAACTCGGGTCACCGAGAGCACAGTTGCATTGTATGTCCGTGCATTAACCATGAGGCTATTGGCGCCAACTGGGACAGACACTTTTATCCAAAGCAGCATGGACTGTCCCCTCAGTCTAACCCGGGGTTAAGTGTCTCAGTTCAGCAATGCTGACGGTTCATAGATCTTTAAACACTAGGCCATACACCCCAAGATACACAGGTCAGAGCTGATTTATTCAACAGTATCTATGGGGAGCACCAGGAGCAACAATAATAAACTGGGGTCATCTGGCACAGACAAGCAATTCATGAGAAGTCACACGACTCACAACCGAGGAGTGTTTACTATCTTTTTGAATCTGTTTCATACTCTCCTGGGGGTTCAGGAGTTATCTCAACAAATCAATATCTTTACTGTGACATAAGACTCACACTTGCAGTTGTTTAAACCCAGTGTGTAATGTAATATTGCAAATGTATAATTATGTTGTAACTCAAAAATGTCAGCTTGGTGAGTCAACAAACGTGCTTTGAAAACAGTGACAGAAGCAGCAAGACATTTGTTCTTACCCTTTCATTGTAGAATATGATATTATGCAGCAGTTCTAGAATAAATAGATGTCAAAATGACATTATATGTGCTGACACGATGCACACACAGTTCTGAAGAGTATTGCATTGCACAGCTGCTATGTAATATCTATTTATTTGCTCTTAGCTGGTGTCATTCAATCCACTCCACAAAACTAGTATGTGTGACATTTTCTTGCATTTTGTCTTCTTGTTCGTGACATATGCAGGAATTAGGAATGGCACAGCAACGTCTGTGAGACTGAGATAATGCCACAAAGAAAGGAACCACACCACTTTCCTTCGTAATTTGTATTGAGGTTTGATAGACAAAACTAGAAAATATGCTCTTTATCAATTTGGGTATGGAACCTGATTGGAAACCCTAAAGACCAAACCCAAATCTGTGGAAAAACGCCCTTACTAGCTATCTACAATACCTTATGTTTTTAAAAAGTTTTTGAAAGAAGGCTGTTATTCTCACCAAGGCTGTATTTATTTGATTAAAAATACAATAATAACAGTAATATTGTGAAATATTATTGCAATTTATAAGAACTGCTTTGTATTTGAATATATTTTAAACTGTAATTTATTATTGGAATGTCAAAGCTGAATTTTCAGCAGTCATTACTCCATTCTTTAGTGTCACATAATCCTTCAGAAATTGTTAGTGTATGCATTTTTTTTTTTTTGGTAACCATGATTTAGCAATTACTGTGATTAGAGGGATTTGAGGTGACCTGATATCAATTTCTGTAATCACTACCATAAAGGATTGTTGTGCAGTTAAAACATAAAGTGTAATCCAGGCAGAAATCTTTGTTTGTGTACAATCCAAAACACAACTGCGCCAAAATACAGAAAGTTGATGAAATGCGAAAAAACATTTCATGATGTATGTTGAATCTTTTATTGCTGATTCCTTGTGTTGTCAGATGTAAATCTCAATTGTACTCCATGGTATTATCTGTACAGACATGGGCTCATAACATTCACACATGCTGCCGAAACGTGTGCTTGGGTGTAGTGGGAAAGTACCCTGTGAAGGCAGAGAAGGCGGTTCTATTTAGTGATTTGTTGATTCTGGCTTTCATGAACTGAAGCTCAGCACATTTCTCAATGCTTAAATCAGCCCTCTGTGTAACTCTCCTGTGATTCATCAGGAAGCTCGAACTACTCGCTTGTTCAAGAGGCCTTGGCCCTTTACACTAGCCTAAACATCAACAAAAACACATGCTATTTTGTCTCAAGCATATTTTTTGGGATGCTTTCAATCTTTGTGATTCTAATCGCTAACAATTGTTTGAATTAAATTTCAGATAGCTCTGCTTAAAATTTGAGCACTTTCCACTTTTAAAGCAGAGGCACCAATATAGGCATCATATTTAAAGTTTGACAGGAATAAAAATGAGGCTGTGAGGGGTAGAAGTACAGTGCGCATAATCGATTGCACTGTAGTTTAAAAGGATAGTTCACCCAAAAATTTAAATTCTGTCATCATTTACTCTCCCTCAAGCTGTTCCAAACCTGCATGAGTTTCTTTCTTCTTTTGAACACAAAAAAAATATATTTGGAAGAATGTTGGTAACCAAACAGTTATCTGGGTGCTACTGACTTACATAGTATTTTTTTTACACACTATGAAAGTCCAGGTCTACCATAAGGCTGTTTACCTTCATAAACATATTATTATTATTATTATTTTTACAGCCAGCTAAATATGTTCTTAAATTCAACAGCTATGTTTCAAGATCCAGCCAATTCCTGATGGATAAAATCAAGTCCCTTCCTACATTTCCCCCCATTGACTGTTGTATTTTGCCCTAAATTATAGTACTGTATATCAGATTGTGAAAGTAAAATGAAGGCCATATCACACTGACTTTGAGCTGACACAAAAACAGCTATTCAGTGCTTAAAAATGCGTCTGATTCGCTTTTCTCATCTTGCTCTTCTTTGTCTGCTAAGAATGGATTTACCCAGCTGTACTTTTCCAAGGACTTATTTCCTTTGTGTTATGAGCCACACTTCAGCTGAGTCTTCAACAGATGGGCATGTTTTTCAAAGAGAGGAAGAGAGGAACAGAGATTTGGCAGCGTGGGATGTGGATGTGGCAGCGGTGGACTGTACGGCAGTCCTAATTGGTTTCAGAGCTGACTTTTACTAGCTGCAGCGCTTAGCATATGTGGTACCGGCCTTTTTTGCTCCTACTCTGTTTTAGCAAGCTGGAAGATGTAACCTCGGAGCAAAAAGGAGCTGAAGTATTTAACTATTGAGTCTGCCAATCAGAATGGGTTTTTTTGGTTTGTAATCTGATTATCTGATGAATCACAGCTAAAAGGTCAAACGTATTTGCATTTATATGTTATTTAATTCTTAGATGTGCTACTCTAAAGTGATGAAAAATTACATAATGTAAGACACGTGCACTAAGTTGACCAGGATGACTAATTGTAGAGCACTCATCTATTACCAGGAAGTTCATGACTCATTTTTATGCAAGTCTGAGACAGTTGTTTTGTTTCATTGAGCATCAAGATGTTACCAAACACAGTAACACAACTGTTTAGTGATACACAGAGTGCCTGTTCTTAGTCCAAACTTTTTTGATTTGTTGTAATGTGTATGTAAGCTTGCTTCTACTTCAGTGTAAAAAAATAAGTTTTATCTAACAATCGCAATTTCTCGTAATTGTGAATTTACATGTGACATCTTTTTACACATTTTTTAAAAATCTCTTTATTTTTATATTTTATTTAATTATATACTATTAATTGTATATTTTAATTTAATTTTATTCTTTTATTTTTATTATTTTATCTCTCTCTTTTTTTACCTTTTAGAAATTAAATGTTTCTGTTCAGATGTACTGTAGGTTCTTTTAAAAACTCAATAAGCTTGTCTTTTTAATTTGAAGTGTTGAGTTTCTAAATGTCTCTCGATATTGAATGATTTCATGCTCTCTTCAGCCAGTAATTCACAGCACATTGTGGTCGGCGCAAACCATGTGTATCCTTTTTGCAAGTAACCGCTATTATAGTTATGTAAATACAGAATAAAGGCCTGTTCACACCGAGGACAATAACTATAAAGATAAAGATATAGTTCTAAAAATCGTTCTTAACTATAAAGATAACGATAAAGATATAGTTCTAAAAATCGTTCTCAATATTAAAGAATAGCAGAGTCCACACCACCGTTATAACAATAAAGGCACAGAGAAACTATATTGTTGGAATCATTTTCAGAACGATTTTTTCCAGCTGATGAATGATAAAAATATTGACAGCCAATCAGAATCAAGCCTGCTATAACGAGCTCAAGAATTTATAGCGGCAGACGAGCATGCGCTTAGAATAAACAGACGATATTGTCCGCTGGTGTGGAAGCTAATATAGTTATCTTTATAGTTATTGCCCTTGGTGTGATAGGGCCTTTAACCAATAGAATACATTTATAGTGAGCTAAAAATAGCAGGCTGATGTGCTGTCAGATTAAATGAAATAAGACTTATCTAAGTGTGACAACTGTGACTGGACAATACACTTGTCCACATTTAATTCTAACCTATGTTTGACCTTTGACCTCTTTTTCCAGAACGTGCAACGGGAGGTCACAGGAGGTCAGACAGATGAAGGCTTGGGTCCTGAGGTCATGCTGCCAAGTCAATCCCTCTTGTGCCAGGAAATGCCACTCAAAGTGCATGTCGGAAAACCTAGCAAAGGTGAGTTCCACAACTTTGGATCCACAAACACACTCTGTAATATAAGTAAAATAACTATGTTTTTTGCAAAACAGGGTCAGTTATCCTATAGTCTTAATGCTAGAACTTGGCAAAAAAGGACACATTCTAATACAGAAGCTGGAACAAGAATGCACACGCTGAATATTTTAAACCGAATTTTCATTCATGTGAGACAGCTGGTGGAAAATACTGTCTCCCCTCTCCTCAGGTCTGTTCCAGCAGATGAGGATAAATTAATCAGAGCGAAGTTAGCTTGCAGAAAGAGATTTGTTTTTATGTGGTAATCCAGGGGCCTGTTTCATAAAACAAGTTTACCAAATAAGCCAGGTTTATTTCAGTTAGTCTGACTTATTGTCAGCTGATTTGGTTCAAAATAAGTCAGACTAACTGAAATAAGCTTGGCTTTTTTGGTAAACTTGTTTTATGAAACTGGCCCCAGGATCCAATAGATCTAGTCAATTTTTGACTTAAAGGGGTCATCGGATGCCCATTTTCCACAAGCTGATATGATTCTTTAGGGTCTTAATGCAGTCTATAACATACTTTTTTGATTAAAATTTCTCAATGGTAGTGTAAAGCAATACCCTTTTTACCTTGTCAAAATCAGCTTTGTTTTCAGCAAGCCGTTTTAGTCCATGTTCCTTTAAATGCTAATGAGCTCTGCTCACCCCGCCCCTCTCTTCCATGGATTGTATTATCTGCAGGTACAGATTTTCAAAAACTACTTTTTAGATTTGAAGTATACTACAAGTGCACATTCAATACAATGAAGCACACGTCTTTTTCATAAGGGTATGCAGACAGTGAGGCAGTGAAACAGAGCCTAAAGGAAGGAAGATATCTGCTGACATGCTGCACATGCACATCTGCAAAAACACTGAAGCAGCAGTGAAATCATGAGACACTGCATGGACACGGGTGACTGGAATCCTTGTGTCTTTGAAGGACCTTCCACTGATTCCAGGACCTTCTTCCCCTGCCTCCTGGCATTCCATTAAAACCCATATTACAAAATACAAGGCAGAAATAGCAGGGGGAAAACTGAAGTATGAATTAAATGTAGCAAGAGAACAGATGAAATTGTTGCTATCGATCAGGATGGTCCTGGGAAATGTGCAGGCAAATCCAATCGTTCACTGTCCCGTGTGATTTATGCAGTGTGCTGAGAAGCTATCTGGTCAGTGGAACACGTGTAAACCTGCAGATCTGTGCTTCAGCTCTGCGCTACAGGTTTTAGCCACACATGGACGCACGTAAGTGGCCTATTATTCAGCCAGACACCATTAGAAAGAGGTCTCAGTGATTTACTGCACACTGCAAAAAAGTGAAACAACTGTGTTGTTTATTGAAAGTGCATTTTTATATTGTCTAATGGGAAATAAAGGGTTCTGGTTTAAACCAGGGGCCTGTTTCATAAAAAAGTTTACCAAATAGGCCAGGTTTATTTCAGTTAGTCTGACTTATTGTCAGCTGATTTGGTTCAAAATAAGTCAGACTAACTGAAATAAGCTTGGCTTTTTTGGTAAACTTGTTTTATGAAACTGGCCCCAGGATCCAATAGATCTAGTCAATTTTTGACTTAAAGGGGTCATCGGATGCCCATTTTCCACAAGCTGATATGATTCTTTAGGGTCTTAATGCAGTCTATAACATACTTTTTTGATTAAAATTTCTCAATGGTAGTGTAAAGCAATACCCTTTTTACCTTGTCAAAATCAGCTTTGTTTTCAGCAAGCCGTTTTAGTCCATGTTCCTTTAAATGCTAATGAGCTCTGCTCACCCCGCCCCTCTCTTCCATGGGGTGACGAGCCGTTCTCATGATTTACTTTAGCCGCGGAACTTGCTAACTAGCACGTTATTCGGAAAGACAATTTGCAAAGATTCATAAAAGAACCTTATACTCACTTCTGTAGGTGAGGCTGGATCACGAATGATTTGTGCGTGGAACTTGATAACTAGCACATTATTAGTAAAGGGGATTTGCAAAGATTCATAAAAAACGTATACTCACTTCTTCTTTAGGTGAAGCTGGATCACAAATTATTTGCACGAACATAAACGCATTTAGGTAGATCGGGGGCGCATTCCATTCAAATACAAAGGTAATCCACTGCATCTTCAGTGGCTCAGATGTCGGTAGTAAATGACAACTGCCATGTTCATTATTACATCCAACAACAGAACACCTCAATCGCTTAGGAGTCATTCTTGTCTACATCTGCTCCGGCGGTGAAACAATGGCGGACTGATGACAGCTCACTCAGGGCGGGTCTAAGGTAATACGCTAGTGTCAATCAACAATCGTGGGAGGGCCTGGGTCTGTGTGACGTCACACAGACAGGCATCTGAGATCGGCTCGATTTGAGAAAGGGGAAATGATTTAATGAGATTAAATAAAAACACTGGGTGGATTTTTATCATTATAGGTTGGTTGTGTACACACACTGCCAACACACATTTCAGTTCAAACAACTTGTAAAAGTGCATGTAGCATCCGATTACCCCTTTAAAGTGTTGGAAGTGTGGTTTTGGTTGACCATCCAAGAACAACCATGAGCGAAAACTTGCTGTTATTTTTCTGTTTTAATTTTAATTTCTAGAAATTTTGCTATGTGTTTTTTATAATTTTTTTAGTTTGTTATTAAAATATATTTTTATATAGCCTTTTCTATTTATTTTTTATTTTTTTGTAATTTCAAACATATTTTAGTAATTTTGAATTTAATTCAGTTCATTTATTTCAGTGCAATATTTCTAATTTTCAAATTTTTAAAAGATAATTTTTTATATTTTTTAGATTTATTTAAATTACTGAATTGTTTATAATACTTTTAGTTTCAGTTAACAATAACATATAGCATATAAGGATAACATACCACTTATGTTATTTTTGTTTTCAGATTTCATTTGAATTTTTCATTTATTTTAGTGCAATATTTCTAATTTTCATTTTTTTTAAATTATTTTTTAGATTTTATTTTAGCTTTATTTAAATTACTGCAAATTATTCATAATACTTTTATTTTTAGTTAACAATAACATATGGCATATAGGGGTTTGATTTTAGTGTTTAGCATATAAAATTACAGAATGTGGGAAGATGAGAGGGGGAAAACCACATGAAATATGAAATTTTGCCCAGGTGGCCTGCAAACATTTTCAATGCAACAAAAACTGTGTTGTTGAAAAGTTTAGACAAAATGGTTTGTAGCCAAATTCTTTTGTCTAAAACAAAGCCACATTCATTTAAAAACCATAAACCAAGGTGTAATGCATCAATCATAATTACTAAACGTGTTGTCCTTAACGTATTTTTGGTTTGCACATTGTCTTGAATACTTGCTCAGTGATTTCAGGCAACCCCTGGGTGAGGCTTTTGGCAGAAATCAAGTGTGGGATTTTGTTTTGCCAAGCGCAGCATCCTTCACATGAAACAATGGGTCTAAGATTGTATCAGGTGCACAAACTGGATTAAATCGATACCCACACACAGATCTACAAAGACTAAATATGCAATATCACACAAGCAAGAGTGCTGTTGTACTAAATACATTTTTTTAAGCATGAACCTGATTCGATTCCAGTGTTTTAACATCTGATCTGAAATGCAGTATGTTTTTCTGTTTTCATTCAAATCAAACTGCATTCAACATGAAATCCGGTAATTATGTGTTTCATATCCGGTTGAAGATTGATCCTCGCTGCTTATCAGGTTTAATGGGTTTTTTAGCTTTAGTTATGAGATTTTTGATCATTTGCTGTTACACTCTGTGTGAACTCTGTGTCTTATAGTGGACAGACTGTAAATACAGGGTTTATATGAGTCCCCAGAGTTTGCATTCTCAACTAGTGGAACATGAGAGAGTTTGCCTCATGTTTGACGGAAAATCTTGGCCAGGCACTTTTCCAGAGTGTATTTCTTGGTTTGTGTGTAAGTGAAAGACTGTGTAGTTTTCTATTTTAATCCTGAGGAGAACATTAGAGACAACCTACTGTATCTTACCCAGACTCACATGTCCACACAAGTTTTGCTCGGGATGTGTGTGCTGTCATTTCTTGAGTTACGCTCTGTTGTGAGCCTAAGTCTGTATTTTTGGTCCTGTTTTGTCTTGCTGTTGGCTCAGGCAGCAATAGCACCAGATGTCACATTCACACACTAAGGAGTCCACAAACTGCTCGTTTATCAGAAAGACGTGCATTTTAGAGTGTCATGCACATTCTCTGTTTATTTCAGTGTTTTATTCCTGTATAATAAGCATACTGTATTTCTACATTTTTTTACATTTTTCAAAGAAAAATACACTTGGTTGTTATTTTAGAAGTGGCGTTATTATTTTTTAAATTCCAATATATAAACAAATCCATGTTCTAATCTAAAGATTAATAGACAGCTGTTCAATTAAATGAAAACGGTTTAATTTAAAATGGTTGCAGTTCGTGTTTAAAATGTCTAGTTATTTGTCAATAAATTCATTTATTTACATTTTTTAAATTATATATATATATATATATATATGAGTAAAATAAAAAAATATGTAAAGTTTTTATATTATATTATATTATATTATATTATATTATATTATATTATATTA